ATTTTAAAAATAACAAAACAATTTTCACATTTCAAAAATCAGATATTTTGACCTATACATACACACACATATATAAATATAAATAAATAAATAAATATATAAAATTAACACCCCCACCTCCACCACCCTTATCGCTCCGGCGACCGCTACGGCAACTAATCCGGCGACCTCTTCGGCGACTACTCCGATTCCGGTGACCGTTTCGGGGACTTCTCCAATTCCGAAGACTCAGGTCACAAGTCACAGCCCAGGTCACAACTTAGGTCACAAGTCACAATCCAGGTCACAATTCAGGTCACAAGTCACAGTTCAAGTCATAACTCAGGATTTTGATCATAATCACGGGTTATTTTCAAATGATCACAGCACATGTTACAAAATATTTTTGCGCATGGCTCAGATTAATATTTAGTCACAAATTGTCGAATTTTAAGGTCATAGTTAATCCATTATGCAATCCCAGTTGGTCACGAAACACAATACAGATTCAAACAACTGTCGCCCGCACAACCACAACCATCGGACCATCTCCTGCATCGCACCACCACAATAAAAAAAAATAAAAAAAATCGTCTCAGCTGCCTGCAAGCCGGTACCACCTCACCATCAAACCGCTACCATTTACAAACCACCACCAACTATCGCACCACCACCCAAACACCATTAAAATCACAAATTCACATGGGAGAAATGAAATTCACACTCAAACGATAGTGGGTACACATTTAATTGAGTCACCACCAAAAGACCACAACCACCACATAAAACCACAAAAACAGGAGCAACATTGCTGATGGTGCTTCTCCACTGTCGTCATTTCTTCTTTTTCACACCGCCCTAGACCTCATACAATAAATAATCTGAATCACCACATCCCGCCACTGTGAGATCACGGATCCAAATGGTGGTGATTGACCGTAGGAGAGAGGGTCGACACCGTTGAAGAAGGCGACTGCTTACGTGGTGGAGACGGCACGGTGTCCTCTTCTTCGTTGCAGCACCCGATTGTGGTTGCGATGGCGAGGTGACCTCGTCGTCTGGGTATGGTTGCAACACCGGGATTGGGGGAGATTATTAGGGTTTAGGGTTGGGTGGGTAGGGATGCAGCGTCAGTGAAGAGGAAAAATGATGGTCGTCGCTTCCGCCGGTGAAGATGATGTTGTTGATGAAGGTCGGCACCACCACTAGCCAGGCCCACGGAGGGGGAGAGAGAGAGAGAGAGAGAGAGAGAGAGAGAAGAGAATTTGGGTTTGATAATTTTAGGGGTAGGGTGAGTGTATATAAATTAATTTTCATAATATTTTTATTAATGAATAATTAAGTATAAAAAACATGTATCTATATTAAAAACATCTGACTTTTGAAAAAAAAAAGATGAAATCTGATTTTGGAAATGTGAATA